CCCCTCAGGATTTATCCTGAGATCCTGTACCTCAGATTGTAGAACCTTTGTCAGTGTCAGCCATGTGGATGAGTCACAGCCATTGCTTGGCCAATTTGCTGTCTGTGAAAGCCTGAGAGAATGTTTTCTTTCCATGTGACTCTCCTTAGGCATACTGTACATCACTGATCACTTTCCTCTTTGGCCCCATAATCTCCTTGATCAGAAAATTTGGGACACAACTGAGTCACATGTTGTTACAGTACAAGTTCTCATATGTCCTGAGTCTTAATTGACCTTGGAAGGTTAGGGCCAAAATGTTGGCTTTCCTTGTGGCCCTCCTTTTCCTCTAATTTCTGGTCTGCAAACTTATCAGATAAAATTCTAATAATCAAATATATTGTTCCAAACTAAGTATACTAATATAGACCCAGATTCTCCTTAAAAAATTGTTATTAATTCTTATTTTATTTTTTCAACGGAACCAGGGACTGAACTCAGGCCCTTGCACTTGCCAGGCAAGTGCTTATTCTACTGAGCCATCTTCCTGGCCCCTTAATTCCTATGTGAGATCCCTATCTGTTCCTGACATTCAGCCAAGCTAAAAAGATGGATCTTGTCCCTCAAACTCCACAAGAAAAGATACTCAATCTAACTTTCCAAGTCTTCAATAATAAAGACCAAAATTAACTATACACAGTACCAACTTCTGGCTGCGACACTTGGGACTCCCATCAAAGCAGGACCTTGACAAGGTAATGCTGAGCCTAAACAATGCTGCCACCTGAGCCAAGTGCAGTGAAAAAGGACACTGGGCATGAGCCTGCCCCAACCTGCAGCCATCACTGGGATATCTACAAACTCGAGGGTCACTGGAAATGTGACTGCCCTGTCCGCCAGAGATTGGGTAAGTCATCCAATCCCCTGCCCTCACAGGAAACCTCACTATGGCCAGATCCATATACTTGACCTACTTGGTCTTGCCACTGAAGAGCAACATCAGAGCTTGGGTTCCACAGCCCACATCGAGGTACTTTTGTTGGAGTCCCAAGTCTTGCTGGATATCTCAGGTAAAAACTCTTTTCTTGCTGACACGGAGACCACATACAGTGTTCTTCCTGAGTTCTAAAATCATTATAATAGTTCAACAGTCTCTATAGTGGGTGTTCAAAAAAAAATCCTTCTCAACTTTGGGGGCCTGCTGGTTAGCTCAGTTGTTTAAGGGCCTGCTTATGTAAACACAGGCTTAGGATACCACGGTTAGATCCGCAGCTCCACATGCCTTACTAGATCGGCCCTTAACGCAGCCTGAGCCAGGGGAAAAAAAAAATCCTTCCATAGTGGGTGTTGGTGACTGACCTACATGACCCCTTTCAGACAGGCCCATTCCCTGCTGACTCCAGACACTGTTCTTCACTCATAATTTCCTTGTGATCCCAACCTGTCCCATACCACTCATGGAGACAGACCTCCTCCAAAAGCTCCACTTCTCTTTCATCTCTCTCCCCTCCACAGTGTACATCCTACAAACCCAACCTCAATGTACAGCCAGCTCCTCCCTCCCTCTTCCCTTGTCGACCACATACTCTGAAACACTTCCAGTCCCACTCGTGCCACACATGCCATTCCTGTATTAATGTGCCTCAGAGATTCCACAGGGTTTCCCTACATTTCCCAATATCTGATAGACCCTAAACATCAAAAGAGACTCAAGCCCATATGCCTTCTTCACCATTCCCTCACACCCAAAATGCCAAGACCTCTCTGCCTTCACATGGACTGATCCAAACACTCTCCAATCCCAGAAGCTCATGTAGACAGTCCTGCTTCAGGGGTGCAGAGACAGTCCTTACTCCTTTAGCCAAGCCCTCGCTGCTGATCTCAAAACCCTTGACCACAAGCTTCTCCAATATATAGACAACCTTCTCCTTTGCTCTCCCTCTCATGCCCCAGCCTTGCAACACACAACTACTCTTCTCAGTTTTCTGTCAGGATGAGGTTACAGGGTCTCTCCCTCCAAAGCTCAGATAGCTTCACCAAAAGTCAAATACCTAAGACTCACCCTCACTCCCACTACTTGTGTGATCACTGCTGACCACAAAGCCTTTCTTTGTGACCTTCAGGTGCCCACCCAGAATAATAGGTTTTATCCTTCGTCTGGCTAATTTCTTCCACCTCTGGGTTCCCAACTCTGCTTCCCTAGCACAGCCTCTCTATAAAACATCAAAATGTTCCTAGTTAGAGCCCCTTGACCCCACTGCTCCTGTACATTCCTCCTTTCACAAGCTACAACAGGCCCTCCTAAGGGCCCCAGCTCTCTCTTTACCCAACCTAACTCAACCTTTTACCCTCCGTACTTCTTTTCAGGGTCACAATACAGTGGGCATTTTTACAATATAAAGAGACCATCTTTTCAGGCAGTAGGCTACCTTTATAGACAACACAGTTGTAGATAGACTCCAGGTCCCCACACACCCACAGCAGCTGCCACTCTAACACAAGAGACAAAAAGTTCACTTTAAGACAATCTATCTGGGCTGGTGAGATGGCTCAGTGGTCTAAAGCACCTACTTTAGAACAAACTAAGCTAAGCAAAGCACAGGGACCACGGTTCAATCCCCAGCACCACATGCCAGCCAGCCCTGCCCCCTGGTGGGCTGAACTGGCCACACACACACACACACACACACACAAAATACATAAATAAATAAATAAATAAATAAATAAAATTAAAAAAAAAAAAAGACAATCTATCACAGTCTATTCACCGTCACCTAGTGAGCTCATCACACATAAGACAATTCCAGCTCTAATGACTCTTCTACAGATCCACTTAACGTTCATACAAGATCCTTCTACCACTATTTCCACCTACAGCCCTCTCAATCCCGCCACCTTATTCTGTACCTTTGATGAGGCCCCTCAATACAGTTGTGTTGAAGTCCTACAGATGACCACGTCTCCCTTTCCTCACATTGACATAAAAAACTAAACATAACATTCAAATCAGAGACCCCACTCTTGCTTCCCCTCCTGTGTCCTTTAATCATGATGACATGTATTCATAACATTCTGTCTTTTGAAACTATTTCAGGGTTTCTTTGCTCTCCAATGCGAGCCATCACTAATAAACTTCTAGTTCTGAGGCCCCAGCACTAACTTCTACATCGGTGTGAACTGTCATCCCGTCAACCCTCCTCGCCCCCAAGACGATGCCCCAGTTCAGCAGGAAGCAGTCTAAGAGACATGTTGCTCCTCTTCATAACTACCAAAAGACGAGAATGATAGGTTCTGGTCCTAGTATGAATTGCTAAAATCATCATGATGGTCATCTAATATGGCTGATGCCCCTAAAACAAAAGCCCACCTTCCCAAGACCACCTCCTCCTTCTTCTCCAACTTAGCCCAGGACATTATTTCCACCCTTCCCACCACCTCAAGGAAGCCCCTCAATCAGCTCTCAGGTATATCTAAACATCGCCTTCAAACTCCACCCCTGACAGAAGGCCATAAAAGCCTCAGCCTCCCTTTGTTTCAATCCAGAGAATTTCTTATGTTCCCTAAATGCTGTGTCCTCAAAGAAAATAAAGCCTCTTTCCCTTATTCCTTCTGCCTGTTTCTCTGCTGCGCTGGGAGGCCTGAAAAAAAAACCTATCAATCACCCTTCTGAACCCCCCCCCCCAAGGTATCACATCCCAGAACAGAATCCTAAGTCCTTAGCTTGCCCAAGGAGCTCTGTCCTCCAGCTCCAGGCACATGGCTTCCCAATGACTCTTCTGCTCTAAATGCACGCTTGCCTCAGGGACGTTGCACACGCTTTACCCCCTGCCTGGAAGATCCTTGCTTCCTGCTGCCCTCTTTGATCATCATCAAAACTTCAAAACAGGTACAATCCTATCATCATTTTGCTCCTGACAGATTCAGGATTGCTCCCTAGTTTCCCAACCTTACCAAGAACCCTGTGCCTCAGCTCCAGCTCCCTCAGCTCCTTCCTAAGCTCCATGCTCTACACTTACTGTGCTCCCCCTCTAAGGTGTGCATGGACAGCTCTATTCTCCTCCCTTGTGCCTCCCAAGCCGCGCCTGGCACATGGCTGGCACTAAGGACTTACTGAAACCACCCATGAATGATGCCGTGTCAGTCTGTCCCCTAAACTCAGTTCCCTGCGTGCGTGATGTCATCTGTATGGCCCTCGAGGTAAATGCTTGCTGACATAATCAAAGAAGGAACAGCAGGGCCCCAGAACCAACAGTTAATGATAATACAAATGGAAGTATTTTAAAAATATGTTTATTCTTACATTGAGCATTTCAAGAAAGAAGTTACATTGATTTCAAAATTCAATCACATTGAACCAAGGAGTTGAATTTATGGCCTTTATAATCACACTTAATTAATATTTAGGAACACAGGCAGACCAAAGCCAGTTCATGGATGCAATGAGTAAAATTAACTATGTAAATGTGTAAATCTCAGGGATGGTTATCAGACATGATCAGGTAAATCTCTGTCATCGGGCTTTTTGGTAACATGATTCACATTCATTTCCATCACTCTGTATACATCCACTTTAAATGCGAACAACACAGGACATAATCTTTGTTACCCTAAAAGAAAGTTCAGTCCAAAAATATGATGAAATTCAAGAAGAAAGTTGTAGGACTCTCTCCCAGAAGCTTTCAGTGCACGTGGTATTACTTTGTTGGCAATGATGGTTCAAGGAAGGATAAGAAACAAAAATGCTTTCTTTACCGACTGAGGACACAATTGAGGAAACGGGAACTGGGTTTCTGAAAACTTTGCTAGTTGTGGAGGTGGCCCAGGGAGGTCTCCTGAGGTCAGCAACTGACCGCCTTCAGAAAGCTCTAGCCAGAGTTACAGAAACAGAGCGTTTGGAGTACTATTTCTAAGGACAAACATAATTGGGCTTTGCCGTCTATAAATAATCATCTCTGAAAGCCTGTGAGCATGTGGTTGTGGCTCTGGCCTAGCTGGGCAGCTGAAGGTGCACATGGCCACCTACTGATGGACCTTCTCGAAGTACTCCTTGGAAGCCGCTGGGCTTGGCTTGATCTGAAAACACAAACACATCGAATTGGATAACAGCATCATAAAAACAGTTCCAAGTCTGAAAAATTTACAATTTTTCTTTTTTTTTTTTTTTCCGGAACCAGGGATTGAACTCAGGCCCTTGCACTTGCCAGGGAAGCACTTATTCCACTGAGCCATCTCCCCAGCCCCCAAATTTACAATTTTTAATCTAAAGCTTTTCCCAAGATTGGCCTGTTTCCTTCAAAACACATGGATGGAAGCTAAGGAACAGGCCCTTGGTCTCTGGCGCTCTACCTCCAGCCCCCAGGCCCTAGGGCTGCACCCATCTGCACACAGTCTTGAGGACTGCGAGGTCCTGGCACTGCGGAATCCCACTGCCTTGGGGAGAACCTACTGTAGGGGAATCCGGTGTCCAGTTCGCTGGGCAGACTTCTCCATGGGTTTCCACGAACTGGAATGCCTTCACCAAGCGGAGGGTCTCTTCCACGCTTCGGCCCACTGGGAGATCGTTGACACTCAGATGCTTGATGACTCCATTGGGGTCAATTATGAAGAGTCCTCTGCGTCAGAATTTAGCCCCATCAGTATTCTGACAGCACCAGAATTCACGGGCCAAGCTCTACTCTTTTGTCTTTCATTTTCCTTTTAATATAACATTTATTAAACTTTGTCATATGCTTAAAATTGAGGTTTCCATTGTTGTACCAAAGCTTCTCATCTCTTATTAATGACAGATGCATTCATAATGGCGGGAGTGGGCCAGGCCACCATGGAAAGCATAGAGTGTGGTCCCATCTGCAAACTCATAGCTGTGCCCTCTGTGAGCGTCAGACTCGGTATCGGAAAGTCATAGAATCAGAGAGTGTGAGGGCGTCTTTATGTCTTAGTGACTTGGCAAGCATCCTTTGGGCTGCTGTGTCAAATTTTGGCAAGAAAGCATAGGCAAATGGGAAGGGACAACGATGTATTTCTCTACACCCAATATTTATGAAGTAAACGAATCCTGGCGTAGCTGAGTGATGTCCCATGGGAAAAACATGCTGGAGGAATATGCCCGCCCCAAGTCCATGTGGAACAGACACCCGCTTTTCATGACTCAGCAGCAATGCCAGGTGACGACTGCCCACTGCCAGCCTGTCTGCATCTTTCTGTGGCTGTGACTATGACAGACTTCAGGGACCGGGACCTGTGGCATTTTATTTTTTGTCTTTTTGAGATAGAGTTTCACTGTGCAGTTTAGGTTGGCCCTGAACTCAGTAATTCTTCTGCCTCAGCCTCCCCAGTGCTGGGATTACAGGGGTGCAGTACCATACCTGGCTGACCTGGGGCTTTTGCTTCTTTTCTTTTTTTTTTTTTTTTTTAAGTATATTTAGCACAGGGTCTACAGGGTGTTACTACACAGACTAGATTTATAATGCTCCTTCTGTTTTCAGCCTCCCAAACCCTGGGATTATAGGTGTGCACCACCATACCCAGCCTCATTCACCCTCTCAGTGTGCCCCAGGCGCGAGGTCGCAGGGCACGCCAGGGATCAAACCGGTCACTGCACCTGCCTAAGCAGGCGCTTTAGTCCACTGAGCTTTCTGGCCGGACCACCTGGGGCTTTTCAATAGTCCATTTTATTTTATTTTTTATTTTTTGTATTTTTTGGGAAGGTCCTACAGGGTGCAGGGTCTCACTACTAGATCAGACTCATAGTGATCCACCTGTTTACAGCCTCTGAAGAGCTGGGATTACAGGTGTGTGTCATTACGCCCAGTCTCAATTGCTGCCTCATTGTGCCCTGGGGGCAGGGCTGGCACAGCAGGCCCAGGGATTGAACTTGCAGGTGCTTTAATCCACTGAGCTATTCAGCTGGCCCTCAATAGTCTATTTTAAAAGAGTATGGAAAATCTAAGTGTTAATCATGCAGGGAAAAAGCAAGTTAAAGAACACAAAGTAAAAAAAAAAAAGGTTCTCTCCCTTTCTCCAAGCTTGGTAGCTGGGGGTCTAACCCCCACCTTTTCTTTTCTTTTTACACTACTTGGCATTTTTAAAGACAGTAGTGTCACTAAGTTGCCCAGCCCGACCTCAGAGGCTGCCTCATCTTCCCAAGCAGCTGGGCTTGCAGGCACGCAGCACCATGCCTGGCTGGAGGCCTGGGCTTTGGGGCGGAGCTGGCCCTGCTGTCTGCTCTAGAAGGGAAGTCAGCTGGGCTCCCTGGAAAAGCAGAGCTGAGGGTTAGCAGAGTGCACAGACTCCAGAGAGCGACACTAACTGCCCGCCAGACCCAGGCTCTCTTCTTTTCTAATCCTGACACTGAACACGATGGCGGTAACTGAAATTAGACCTGGCAGGTGCAGAACCCTGGAGGAAGGGCAGCCTGCTCTTTCCCCTGCCACTGCTGACGCTGAGGATGGAGGCGAGCCTCGTTCCAGGAAGATGGTCTTTCAAGGTCACACGAGACTGACAGGCTGCATGGGGCCACCCAGCACCAAGATCCCCCCATCCCTGGGGTGGTAGCAGGAGAGGGCAGCTGGCAGAGCAGGGGAGCTGAGTTCAAGATGCTCCATTGTTGTCCCCCCCCCCTTTTGTCACCTTGGGGACTTCACGCAAGCATTCTCATTTAGCTACATATGCAGCCCTTATTTAATTTTTATTTTACAACATGGTCTTGCCCAGGAGGGGCTCAATCTTGCCATTCTCCTGTCTTAGCCTCCCAGAGTTACAACCATTTTTGAAAATCTGCCATCCCTTCAGGAGGCATTTCATCAGACTTAAGGAGACTAAAATTAAGAAGCTTTTTTTTTTTTGGTACCAGGGATGAAACTCAGGACCTTGTGCTTGCTAGGCAGGAGCTTAAGCTGCTGAGCTATCTCCCTAGCAGCTTTTTGTTTTCACTAATGTTTTACCAGCCAGGCGAGGTGGCCCTGTGAGTTCAAGGCCAGCCAGCCAGTGAGGTCAAGGCTAAACTACACAGCAAGACCTGCCTCTACATAAATAAGTCAATAAATACCAAAACAAACAAATGAATTTTTAAAAATTTAAAAAGACAAAACAAATACAAAAAACAATGCCAGCAACCAAAATTATGCCTTACCAAAATCCATATATATCCTGATAAAGCAGCATAAGGAACAGACTCTTACCTGAGTGCAATACCAGGACCTTCCAAAAGTACACCGTAGTCCCGGGAAATCTGTTTAGTTAAATCTGACAGAAGTGCTATGTTCATACGGCCCAAACCACCGCTCTATAAAAAATGCAAACATGACTAATTAGCTGTGCTGGCCTCCAATTTCTTGTGGTGGACGTGTTGGTGGTGGTGATGCTAGGGAGGTTTTTCTTGGTCTTTGTGAGACAGGGTCTCAATGCACATTTCACGCTGGCCTTGAACTCATTATGTAGCCCAGGCTGGCCTACAATTTACAAAGACCCTCCTGCCTCAGCCTCTTGAGTGATGGGTCTATAGGTGTGTGCTGCCATGCGCAGTGGTGCTAGGGACTGAACCCAGGAACTTGCACAAGCTGGCCAAGTACTCTACCACTGAGCTATACCCCAATCCTTTTTTTTTTTTTTTTCTTCTTCTATTAGTGCTAAGGATTAGACCCAGGGCCTCCTGCATGCTAGAGAAGCATTTACCACTGATCTACATCCCAAGCCTTTTGAAATATTTTTTTCCCCCCAGAACTGGGGATTGAACTCAGGCCCTTGCGCTTGCCAGGGAAACGCTTATTCCACTGAGCCATCTCCCTGGCCCCTCTTTTGAAAATTTTGAGCTAGGGTTTTGCTAAATCATCAGGGCTGGCTTTGAATTTCCATCCTACTGGTTCAGCTCCTGGGAATTATCTGTGTGTATCGTTAGGCCCAATCTGGCAACATTCTCGACTATGTTACAATGTTTGAGACCAATAATAATGGCAACATAGTACAGGAACTGAACACCAGTGAATTCTTGTGGTTAACTCGCTTTCTCCCAGTAACCATTCTGGAGTAGATACTAATAACATAACCCTTGTACTGATAAGTACATTTATTAAGGCCACAGCTACAAATGCAGAGAGGCAGGATCTGAACCCAGTTGACACTGTAGATAATTCTTTTGCTAATTTCTTTTTTCTTGTTCTTTTTTTTGGTCTTTTGGAGGCAGGGTCTCACAGTTCAGGCTGGCCTTGAACTTGTGGTGATCTATGAGTGCAGAGGGTGGCTGTTGGTATACCTTCCTTGGTGTATTGATCCAGGCAAGGTGAGTAAAGTGGGAATCCACTGAAACTGCCACAACCTCACAGTTCACATCGTGAAACTCATTGGCTTTGTCACTAAAAGCAACGATTTCTGTAGGACACACAAAGGTGCTGGAAAAAAGAAGTGGAGTGTTTGATCAGAAAATAGCAACAGGAATTTAAAATCAGAACAATATGGTCCTTAAGAACTCGTCTCATTCTCCTTACTTTTCCTATTTCTCCCCAGAAAGTGAGCACTTCAGAGACTGCATTGGGAACCACTGCTCCGAACACACGAGAGAGAGTCATGTTAAAACTCCCTTACCTTAGGGTGGAAATGGAGCCCAGTGGTGAGTAAAATTAGCTAGGATGGACAGGGTGGGAGGACCGTAACTCAACACTGGTGGCTTCATAAAAGAGAGATGCTGCACATCTGCTCCTGGCCATGTGGTGCTCTGTCCTACCTCAGAACTGTCAGGAAGGTGGACGTCACTAGGTGACTCAACATGTGCTCCCAAAAGGAGCTAAAATAAACCTCCTTTCATTAAAAAAGAAAAAAGAAAGAAAACTACCCTTGCAAGGCGTCCCTCAGGTGTGTGGTAAGTCAGCTGCAAAGGGGTCAGAAAGAACCCAGCCCTTAACTGGAAGAAGAACTTGCAGGGTGGTTCTGTGCTTGCTTTCAGAATGACACGGAAGTACCATTGAAGGATTTCTTTTTGTTTGTTTTGGCTGCCCAGGCTTCCCTACATGCCAGTCCGGGGTGGCATGCAGCGCTGGGGATCGAACTGGGTTTGCCCACGCAGGCGCTTAAACAACTGAGCTAACCAGCAAGCCCCAGAAGCACCACAGAAGTCACACTTACAAATCCAAAGGGTAGAAGAAAAGCACCAAATATTTCCCCTTAAAGTCCTCAAGGCTTAGCTCTTTGAATTCTCCGTTGACAACAGCTGTTCCCTTAAAAGGGGGCGCGTGCTGGGTGACGGCTGGAGCGTGGTGCAAGGAACCTGGAAAAAATCCACACTGATACGTGGTTGATTCTTCACAACATCAAGCACCTATTCATTTTGCTTAAACTCATACATTTATATAATTCCCAGTATCAAGTGTTTCTTAGCAGAAGTCAATGAAAAGGTTCAATTCAATTATGTATCTTAGGAATAGTAAGGTGGGAGGATCACAAGTTCAAGCCCAACTTGGGCAACTTCACGAATTAACAATAATCTTGTATCAAAAATAAAACAATTATAAAGGACCAAGGATCTAATCTAGCTCCGTGCAAAGGTCACAGGGTCAAGCCCCAATATTGAAAAAAAGAGAACCCCCAAAAAACAAATGGTAATTTTTCTTTCCATAATTCTAGATTATATACAAATCTAATTCAAAGTGCTATTAAGAAAATTTAAGGGGCTGGGGAGATGGCTCAGAAGAAGAAACGCTTGCCTGGAAAGCGCAAGGGCCTGAGTTCAATCCCCAGTTCTGCAAAAAAAAGAAAAAAAAAAAAAAAAAAGAAGAAAATTTAAGAACAGAAAAAAAGAGAAAGAAAAATAAAAATAAAAGAAGTATTAAAGTGGTGGACATGGTAGTGCACCGCTATAGTCTCAGCACTCAGGAGGCTGAGGCTAGCTCGGTACATAGTGAGTTTGAGGCCAGTGGAACTATGTAGAGAGTTCCTGTCTCAACAACAACAACAACAAGAACAATAAGAGCTATGGAAACTGAGGAGGTAGAGCAAGCAAAGATGGAGTTAGGATGGGATTAAGGAAAACATAAGACCTACAGATGGGTTTTATTTTTGAGACAAGGCCTCACTATGTAGTTCAGACTGGCCTTGAACTCACTGTGTAGCCCAGGCTGGCTTTAAATTCAGTGGTTCTCCTGCCTCAGCCTCTGGAGTGCTGGGATTCAGGCATGCACCATCATGCCTAGCTGGAGATGGATTTTCTTTTTCTTTTTTCTTTCTTTCTTTTTTTTTTTTTGCGGAACCGGAGATTGAACTCAGGCCCTTGTGCTTGCCAGGGAAGCACTTATTCTACTGAGCCATTTCCCCGGCCCCTTGGATTTTCTTTTTTTGAACAGGGTCTTGTTACACAGTTTGGACTCCATAGTGATCCTCTTGTCTCATCCTCCCCAGCACTGGGATTACAGGGGTGTACCACCACGCCTGGTTTCTGGGCTCACACAGCATGCTGTACTGGAGATCAAACTCTGGACCTTTTACTTGCCAGACAGGCGCTTACAACTGCCAAGCTATCTTCCCAGCCACTAGAGATGGATTTTACATGTTAGATTTTGTCAGGTCTACATGGGATAGGACAAAGGGAATGGAGAAATGGCAGGAAGAATGGTTGGAGGAAGGCACATTGTGCACAGTTGGATTGTAATGCAGTCAAAGGGTATGAGAGGAAGAAGGCGGAGCGCATACCAAGAGCAGCCCTGGGGAGGCCAAGCTGGCCCTCAGTATCGGGAACCTGACAGGTCTTCAGGGAAGAGATTACAGGGTCAGTGGAGGCTTTTAGGGAGGAGACACAGAGGTGACAACTGTTTGCAGGAAGATTAGCCTGGCAGGAGAGTAAGACTAGTTAGGGGGTGACTTCAGCTATCTCAGTGAGAGGTACTGAGGTATGGCAGAGAGAACAGGAAAAAAAAAGAACTGGAGAGGAGGCTGGGGATGTGTGCAGCTCAGCGGGATGGTGCAGGCCTGGCGTGCGGGAGGCCCTGAGTTCAGTCTCCAGCAAAACAGACACACCTGGCAAGGGCTCCCTTGCTTCTGTGTGGGATGAAGGCCCAAGGGGACCCAGTGCCAAGCTGTCTGGGACCATGATGACAGATACAAGAGGAGCTCTAGGGGTAGAAGCTTGGCACTGGCGGATGCAAGTGTGAAGTCTATGGCACCCACTCATGCATTACTGGAAACACTTTCTAAATTATGCAAATTTTAAAAATGTATTTAGTACAGGGTCTATAGGGTCTCACTACATGGATTTGGACTTGTAGCGATTCTCTTCTTTTCAGCCTCCCAAGAGCTGGGATTATAGGCCTGTGTCACCACATCCAGTCTCAATCACTGCATCAGGGCGCCCTGGGGGGGGGGGCAGGGCCAGCATAGCATACCCGGGATTGAACCCCCCTGGTCCCTGCATCTGCCTAAGTAGACACTTTAATCCACTGAGCTATCTGGCAGGCCCTGATTTTTTTAAAAATTATGTATATTTTAAAGATTATTTCACCAAGAAACCCCATAGTATATTCCCCTAAGCCAGGGTGCATTAAATACAGCACATGCTTGTCAAACATAAGGCAAATCTAAAGGAGGTATTTAAGCAGCACTGGTTATCTGAAACTGATCTCTCCTCTCTCTCCTCTGTCTCTCTCTCTTTCTCAAGCCTGTCTCACTCTGTAGTTCATGCTGACCTTAAACTTACTGTGGAGGCCAGGCTGGCCTCAGACTCCTCAGCCTCCCGTGCACTGGGCTTGTAAGCATGCACCACTACACCCTACAATTTCAGGCTAATCTTGGCAAAGCTACAGCCTACAGAATGGAGTAAAAACCTCAAGAAATGGCTAAGCTTCACTGCAGTCATCAAAGATGGCACAGGACTGCTCTGGTTCCCTAGTGACCAGCAGGAGCCAGCAGGCAGGACAGGTTCTCTGAAGGCAGTCAGTCTGCCACTCACGCCTTCACACACTGCAGGTCCTGAAGGCACAAGAGTTCATCCTCCACCCTCAGGACCCTGCACACAGAAGGATAAAAACTCTGGCACCCAACAAAGAAATGTGACATAGGAAAAAAAAAAAAGAAAGAAATGTGACATAGACAAGAACGTTTCCCCAACCATTCCCAACCCTGGCTGCATATTAGTATTGACCAGTGAGATTTTGAGGTTTTTTCATTAGTACCCTGTATGTTTACAGAACATAATAAATGCATTCATGGTAGGGAGCTGGTGCATACACACCTCACATCTTGGTCCTTTCTATCTCCCTTTCTTCTCCACTTCCTCTCATCTTTCCGAACCTCCAGATCTCTTTAGAAAATACAGAAGTCCTTGCTCCATCTCAGAGACTGACTTTTACTTGGGGGTAAGAGTGGGGCAATGCTGTTTCCATTTATTGATTATATCCAGTTTTATTATTATTATTATTATTATTATTTATTTATTTATTTATTTTTTGGTTTGCTTTTTTTCTTTAAACCAATCTTAAACATTTATATTTGGTAGTCTCAACAACTAATTTGAAGATAACATGCAATACAGCAACCACTGTTGAATTCCTTAGAAAAAACTTTTCCACATGTAAATTTTCTATGTAAGAACTTGTCTGCCATCATACACACTGATAAATAAAATTGCACATAAAATAATGGTTGCTTTTTTTTATTGAGTGGTTTTTTTTTTTTTTTTTTGGTGATACAGGGGATTGAGTGCAGGGTCTTCACACTAAGCTACATCCTAGCCCTTGTTTATTTAAATTTTTTTGTTCTTCTTCTTCTTTTTTTTTTTTTTGTAGAACCAGGGATTGAACTCAAGCCCTCGCACTTTCCAGGGAGCGTTTATTTCACTGAGCCATCTCCTCAGCCCTTTAATTTTTTTGTTCTTGAGACAAGGTCTCACTAAGTTGTTCAGCTGCTCACACAAAGCTTCAATTCGTGATCCTCCTGCCTCAGCCTCCTAGAGTACTGGAGTTATAGATGTGCACTGCCACACTGTCAAGCTGAATTTTTTTTTTTTTTAAGAATGCAATTTTTTTTATTCACCAATAAACTAAAAGCCCATTTATGGGTGTTTCTCACATATACTTCATTTGTTTTAGGAAAAAGCAAAGCCCTATAAGTGGCAACCACCTAGTCCTCAGACTCTGATCCATCTTCATCTTGACTAATCTGGAAGTATCGGAGTTCGTAAGTCTCTTTGTCAGATGCAACCACGCGAAGCCAATCACGAAGATTATTCTTTTTAAGATACTTCTTGGTAAGATATTTCAAATACCTTTTGGAGAACTGTTTCTTGGAAACGACTGTGATCTTATTCTTGAACCGTTCAATGTGAACAACATTCCCAAGGTTTCCAGTTTTTCCATTGACTTTAACCTTCTCCCTCAGAAACTGTTCAAAATTTCCAGAATCAAAAATTCCATCTTCCACTGGATGGGTAAGATCCAAGTTAAACTTCCAGGTTTACCTCTTAGGCTTCTTGTCTTTCGGCGCCATCTTGACAGCAGCGGGAGGATCAGAGAGCTGTCCAGCTGAATTGAAATTGTTTAGATGTCTTAGGTAATAATCTCTTTGTTAAGCTTCTTTTTCTGGGAAACACCAAATTGCAGATGACACCGGTGCAGCAGGAGGGTCCGGAGTCCCCGGGGGACCCAGGCATGGGAGGCTGGGGTGGATTCCGCGGAGGCTTCAGCAGTGGCCTTCGAGGTAGCAGGCGCGGCAGAGGCCAGGGCCTGGGCCCAGGCCACGGGGCTCGCGGTGGTAAGGCCGAGGACAAAGAGTGGATTCCAGTCACCAAGCTGGGCCGTCTGGTCAAAGACATGAAGATCAAGTCCCTGGAGGAAATTTATCTTTTTTCCTTACCCATCAAGGAATCCGAGATTATTGACTTTTTCCTGGGTACATCGCTCAAGGATGAAGTTCTGAAGATCATGCCTGTGCAGAAGCAAACTCATGCTGGCCGGTGGACCAGGTTCAAGGCATCTATCGCCATTGGGGACTACAACGGTCATGTTGGCCTGGGTGTAAAGTGTTCCAAGGAAGTAGCCACTGCCATTCGTGGGGGCATAACCCTGGCCAAACTCTCCATTGTCCCTATCAGGAGAGGCTACTGGGGAAACTAGATCGGCAAGCCCCACACTGTTCCTTGCAAGGTGACGGGCCGCTGTGGCTCTGTGTTGGTACGTCTGATCCCTGCCCCAAAGGCACTGGCACTATCTCAGTTTTTGTGCCCAAGAAGCTGCTGCTGATGGCTGCTACTGATGATTGCTACACCTCTGCTAGGGGCTGTACTGCTACTTTGGGCAACTTTGCCAAGGCCACCTTTGATGCCATCTCCAAGACCTACAGCTATCTGACCCCAGACCTCTGGAAAGAGACCGTGTTCACCAAGTCTCCCTACCAGGAATTCACCAATTGTCTTGTGAAAACCCACACCAGAGTCTCTGTCCAGAGGACTCAAACTCCAGCAGTAGCTACAACATAAAGGGTTTTTACACAAAAATAAATGAATTAAGTCTGTAAAAAAAAAATAATAATCTCTTTGTTAAATATATACTTTATGACTATTTTCTCCCAGGCTATACAGTTTGTCTATTCGTTTTCTTGTTTTCCAATGGTTAGATTTTAATATTTTGATGTGGTTAACTGAACACTATATGGAGCTAACTCCTCATGGATCTGGACTTTCCCCGCATCTTCATGCTGTTTTTGAAAACTCTTTGGGGAGTCTAATGCATAGCCAGGGTTCCGAGCTACTGTCCTGGGCTGGGGTGGGGATATGCCTTAGTGGTAGTTTTTGCCTTGCATGCACAAGACCCTGAGTTCAATCCCCAGCACTCAGTAACAAAGTAACAAAACAGTAACAAAAACACAGTAACAAAATAAAACACAGAGCTACTGTCCTACCCAGTGATGATGAATTACGTTCCCTTCACCTGAGTCCAATCAAGGCCTAACACTTACTGGTGCTGAAGGGAAGTTTGGCTTGAGGAGACCCAGACCACAGTGCCTTTGTCAGGCATGGTCTTCTAGAAGCAACAGGTGCGAAGGCTGCAGAGGCAGAAATGCCGCGAGAAATTACGCTCACCCGGGGTGCAACCTGGAGAGGAAACACTTTATATTAGGAAGAGTAACTGCAGGCTGGCCCTGCTGGAAGGGCACTGTGCCAGGGGCGGCCCCAGCTGTCCTTGTCCCTATGAACAAAATAAATACCAAACCCAACAGTTTCAAGAACACGGAATAAATCTCCATGTTCTTAAGTCTCTTCTGCTTCTTTCTTTTGCAGGCCTGCAAAGCAGAGAAGCTGTAAAACTACAGACTCAAGAACCAAAAACTCCATGCTCTAGTAGAACACAGAGGGTTAAAAGCTGAGGGAGCCTTTGCCAGGCCCTGACTGCTGAAGCCCTTTTCCTGCATTATCTGCTGTAGGCATTCATTCAAGTCAAGGTTTTCCTCAGAAAAGACAAGGCCCTCACAGCCCAACAGATAAGCAAACAAGTAGAGCAAGGGTCAGCCTCTGGAAAAGTTTGGACAGGGCTCAAGAGAAACGCATGCTCAGCTTTTACGTCCAGCATGACGCAAGAAGGAGAAAGAGCCTGCACTGAACGTTTGGGTCAGAAGGGAGGGAAGCGTGGGTACTAAGAGGAAAGCAGATAACCGGGGAGAAGGGAGAGAGTGGGAGGAGAAAGCAGCTCTTGTTACGGCAGCACTGTGTTTGCACCCAGCATTTAAGGCGCCTAAGGCAACACCATGACGCAGACTGGCATCACTCTTAACATCTAAAAGAAGGAAAGTAAACAGAGGCGCAGAGAGGCTAAGTCACTTGCCCAAGGTCATAAGAGCTGGTGGCAGACGCGGGACCAGACGCCTCCTTCCAGCGCCAGGACCAGGTGCTTGGGTGCAGAGAGGGCCTGGGACCGCTCCTCGAGCACCAGGGGACGGGGTGGACCTTGGGCACGCACCGGGGAAGCAGGGCGGCGCAGGTGCAGGGAGCCTTCTTTAAAGGAGGAGGCCTCTCGATCTGTTAGCCGGTGACACCCCCCACGAGGGCGAGGGGGACCCAGGCGGGCACGATCCTCCCTGGGAAGCAGCTCGAAAGCCACTGCGGTGTCGCCGCGCCTGTCCCCGCCGGCAGCCACTCACCGAGGCCCGGAGCAACCTTGCTGCTGCAGCCGCCATCTTCAGCGCACGCGGAGCTGCGGGCGGGCGGGGCCTGCGGCGATGGGAGGGGCCTGAGGCGAGGGCGGGGCGGGACCTGAGGCGAAGGCGGGGCGGAGCCTAGGCGGGTGAGCGGGACCTAGGCGGGTGGGCGGGGCCTAGGCGGGTGGGCGGGGCCTAGGCGGGTGGGCGGGGCCGGGAGGAGCCCGAGGTTGGGTTGTGGGACGTTGGAACCGCTGTTGGAACCGCTGTTGGAACTGTGGTCTTGGTTGTCACCTGAAGCTAAAAAGAACTAAAGGAGGCGGGGAAGTGCTGTGTATTTCCATATTCCGTACGAAATTTTTGTTCTTAAATCAGGCTTGTGTGGATTCTTGCTTTGATTTTGTCTGTGAAGGAGTCCATCTCCTATTTTACCTTCAGGAAGAGCCTTTTGGCTTCCACATACTCAAAATTTGAACTACTTTTTCTTTTTCGGTACTGAGGATTGAACCTAAGGCCTTCACACTGAGCTACATTCCCATCCCTTTATTTATTTTTATTATGAGACAGGTTCTTTCTGAACCGCCAAATTGCCCAGGCTGGGCTCGAACTTTTTTTTTTTTTAATTTATTTATTTGTGTGTGTGTGTGTGTGTGTGTGTGTGTGGCCAGCTCAGCCCGCCTGGGGGCGGGGCTGGGTGGCTTGTGGTGCTGGGGGATTGAACCGTGGTCCCAGTGCTTTGCTAAGCTTGTTGTAAGTAGGTGCTTTAGACCACTGAGCCATCTCACCAGCCCCTGGGCTCAAACTTGTAATCCTCCTGCCTCAGTCTCCCAGTGTTGAGATTATATGCCTGGCTAAAGTTGAATTAACTATTAATTCAATTTCAGTCGTTTAATAATCAACGTTGCTCAGATATAACAGAGGCTCATTTCCAAAGACTTTGGAATTGGGTGTGTGGGGGAGGGGTCAAAATTGGAGGACTAGCTACAATTACATTTTTTTTGGTCAATTAATAAAAAAGTGCTCAGTGAAAAAAAAGTGGTCCATGGTGAACACAGTATTTTGAAGCAACACATCAATCGTGAATGAAAACCACTCAGCACCTTCACAGTAGAAGTGACAAATTGCAGTCTCTAAGTTTGCATTTTCCAAACAGCTGTCATCACAAAATTAGTTTCTCAGATCTACATAGCATCCGAGTATTATTATTTGCTTTAAGCTAACTCACTTTTAAAAAATTTAGAGCTGGGGACATAACTCAGTGGCATAACCACCTGTCTGGCAAGGGCAAGGTCCTGAGTTTGATCCCTGGTATAAATAAATAAATAAATAAATAACCAACCAGGAGTGGTGGCAAAATACAAAATCAAAGGGTGTTAGGGGTGTAGCTTAGTGGTAGAGCACCCCTTGGTTCAGTCCCTAACACCACAACCCCCCCCAAACATACGCAGCAAAGCAAATGAGTTTGAGAGAATATGTTAAAGTGCTTAAATGGTAAAACCTTATACAACTCACTACAAACAGAAAGCAATTTAAAATGAATCTATTATGATAAAATGTTCTAAAGTTCCAGCTAGATACAGTTGTTTGCTCAAAGTCTGAAGTTTTTGTCAAAAAGGGAGAAAAAGAGAGGTGGTCAGAGACCTAGTGCCCCCACCTAAAGGCTGCTTGTTGGTATAATGGGACAGCAGAAAATTAAAAAGACGATAGTCTTCTCATGGGCTGATGGGGTATAGCTCAAGGATGCATCGCTGGCCTTGCATACGCCAGACACACACACACACACACACACACACACACACACACACAGAGCAAAACCAACAAAATATAAAGCTACAGCTCTCTCTCACTGTGGATTTGACGTTATATATTTATTTTCACTCCTCATTCCCCCTGCGATGTGTTCCTTAAATCCGGCTCCAGAACTGCCAAGTGCTACCTGAATCCCTTTCCCTGCTTGGGTGAGATCTGTCTCAGGCTGAGGAGCCCCATTTCCAGTTATTTTCCTTCAGCACCTGCCTCCTGCCTCCTCTTACTTTTGTGAATGGATTGAGCAGATGGTTTAAAATGAAAGGGGGCCGTGCAGTTGGTGCAGTACAATCATGCTTGTAACAGAATTTTCTTTTTTGTACTGGGAATTGAACTCAGGACCTTGTACTTGTCAGGCAGGTGCTGAGCTGTGTCCCCAGCCCTGTAATAGATTATCCATCCCTAAAAAGAAATGCTGATAAATACTAGAACTGACTGGCCTTAAAAAATTTGCAAATAAAAAAAAAAAAAAAAGGCAGCAGGGAAAGGAAGCTGTGACAGCTATAGAGGTGTCATACTCAGTTACTGCTTACTTCGTTCCTATGTGTTTGTTCAGTGACTTTTAAGAAGGAAGCATAGTTAGGCAGCAGAGGAGACCACAGAGATGAGTAAGACAGCAAGCCCCTCCCTTACTTTTGTTTTTTGTTGCTTTGAGACAGGGTCAGGCAATGTAGTTCAGGCAGGCCTTGAACTCACTGGGTAGCCCAGGCTCACCTGAAACTCATGGTGATCCTCCCGCCTCAGCCTCCCAAGTGACAAACAGCTTTCGGGCTCTTACAACCAGCCAGTCACGCATGGACTAGAAGATGGATCAACTTGAGCAGTACAGACTGCTCTAAGGAGGATGTTTTAAAGTGTTTGGGTCCAGTGTAGGTAAAATCTCCTGGAAGCTACCCTTGCACTCACTGGGGAAGGTGTGTAAATTGACACAGGCTTTCTAGAAAGCACATGGCAGTATGTGCCCAAACTCAAAGAAACTGGATGTGGTGTCATTCCTGTGCTCTGAGCGCTCTGGGAGGTGAAGCAGGGACATTACAGGTTCAAGCCCAACTTGGGCAACTTACAACTTGGTAACGTCTTTTTTTTTGGAACCGGGAATTGAACTCAGAGCACTTGCCAGGGAAGGACTTATTCTACTGAGCCATCTCCTTGGCCCTGTGACATCTTGTCTGAAAGTAAAATAAATGGCTGAGCCTGAAGCTTAAGCTTCATTCTCAGTGCCATAAAAAAAAGGTCTCACAATGCAGGTCAGACTCATAGTGATCCTCCTGCCTCAGCCTCCCCAGCACTGGGATTACAGGCATACGCCACCACACCCTGTCTCTGGCTCAGAGCACTCAGGGAAGGAGCTGGCATGGCATGCAGTACTGGGGATCAATCACAATTCTTGCAGAAGTTCCCCTTCTAGAAATATATGCTAAACACACAGAATGTATGCAAAGACTTAGCTACACAGATACATAAAGGTCATATTTATTGGCTATACTAGAAGCAACAACATAAATTTCCAACAGTAACTGATTGGTTAAACAAGCTATAGTATAACACTTCAGTGTATTCCTGCCAGAAATATTTAATCCGAATCTAATCATGAGGGAATATCAGAAAAACCAAGGTACTTTTTTTTGGTGTGTGGGGGGGAACCAGGGTTGAACTCAGGCCCTTGGGCTTGCCAGGCATGCGCTTATTCAACTGAGCTATCTCCCCAGCCCCCACACATTCTACAAAAGAGCCAGTTTGCATATTTATTTATTTAT